CAGTCTTTTACCGTTAAATTCATGGTCATTTTTTACAGTGTATGAAGCTGCAGTAAAAAGTCTAAATTATAATTAATTAGGCTATATGTTTTATCATCCTTCATCAAGTGTAACCGTAACTAAATACTGTTATTAAACCACTTAAATTATAAATGATGTGCTAACTGGTCTTCATGTTAATCTGAGTTTCTGTTCGAAGCAGATTATATTTTAGAAACAGGTGCGTCGCAGCTGGAACAACACCATACAGAATGTGACAATGATGAACTCATGAAACTGATTATGTGCGTCATTTAATGTTAAAAGCGGTTAATGTGAGGTACAATATCATATCGCATACACGTTATAGCCATAATGAAAGCAATAATAGATAGTTATGATATATCATTTAGATACTACTGTCGGTTTTTGTTTTTGTATATTTTGCTTTTCATTAAAGTTTATTTTTGTCTAGTCTTTGTAATTGTATTATATATAGTTTTTACTATATACAGTATATAATACATAACTATATATATTATATATACTTTGTATTAATTTTTACTTCAGTTTGTAGTCTGTTATTTTATTTTAGCACATCAACTTAAACTAAATGAAAATGATAAATGTGTCCTTGGCAACTAGATGAAATAAAAAAAAAGTAATATATATTTCATTTTATTTCAGTAAATGTTAACTTTATTTCAAGTAACAACAATGGCTTTGGTTGTGTGGTTTTAGTTTACTGTAATAACCCTGTTCACTGTGAAGGTAAAATGACATTTACCTCATATTTACCATCAACTTTACTGTCTGTAATTCTCCCTTCAGAGCACTGTTATGAAGTTATGACAGAATTAATCATTTCACTTTCTCATGTAAATCCAGGAGAAGCAACACTTCATAACCAAACAAACATAAACAAGGTGATTTCCTTGGCTTTCTCAATAAGAGCTTTAAGACTCATACGTGACACTGTTGTATGACACATCTTTGCGTTGTAAAGAACTTTTTATGATTAATTCTGGACACTGTGATGTTTATATTATCTCCATTTTCTATCTCCAAGAAATTCATTCATGGCAGAAGATCTGTGGAGCATCACAAACTGAAGGAGAATTAAATGAAGAGGAAAAAGAAAAATGCCAAACAAAGAGAGCAAGAGACAATCTACTGAACCAGAAGAGAAAAACACCCCGAAACTAATCAGACGCAACAGCATTAATAGCGGAAAACCAAACTGTGAGTATTCATGATATTAAACATAAAACACTGTAACATGTCTTTCATCAATACATAATCAACAATAGCTTTACCATTTATCAAATATAAAAACAATGAGGATAATCAGACGTTTGTGTTTCTAATGTCTAGTTTCTGATGATCCAGACAGTTTTATTCTGACTGACTCTGATGAGGTGAGATTCTCTCTGAACACACACACAGACTAAATACACTCAGTTCTGTTACTCTGACAGTGTGTGTATGTACTGTATTATACTGTATTCATGATATTAAACATAAAACACTGTAACATGTCTTTCATCAATACATAATCAACAATAGCTTTACCATTTATCAAATATAAAAACAATGAGGATAATCAGACGTTTGTGTTTCTAATGTCTAGTTTCTGATGATGCTGACAGTTTTATTCTGACTGACTCTCAGACGAGGTGAGATTCTCTCTGAACACACACACAGACTAAATACACTCAGTTCTGTTACTCTGACAGTGTGTGTATGTACTGTATTATACTGTCAGTTACTGTATGTGTGTGTTATAGTTCTGAGAGTGTGTTTTCTCTTCAGACAGGAGCAGCTCCTTTCACCGGACCAGCAGAATATAATTTATATTCTTTATACTCACTGATTACAGTTTTTTACAATCATTTTTGCATTAATAACAGAACCTTCATGTCATTTCTCAAAACTCTAGACTCAAAACATTATTTGTAACACAGGCTGTCCAAAACTTTGCATATTGCGTTCATATCTTCAAAAAAGCCTTGCATTTGCAGAAGCAAAAAAAAGAAAATGTTTTTTGGTTCAAAAAACTAATTTATGAAATATCATAGGAACATTACGTTAGCTCACCCACACACAAGATACCCATAGTTTCACGGTGTATTTGTTAGTACAAGCATTAAATATAGTTGTACAAAATATGTGATTCAGGTTTCATTCTTGTATTGTAGACTAGAGAGAATAGTACAGACACAGTGGTATCATTGATTTACTGTAATGGGAAATTTACTGATGAAATAGAAATCACAACATAGGTTTTCCAAAGGAAAAAATTCGATTAAAAAAAACAAACAAACAAACAAAAAAAACTGTACTGTAAACGTAAGTGTTCCCCACTGCACTATGCATCCATGTTTCCATCAACCCGGTCTTGTGGATTTGGCCACAGGTTCTCATCTACATCACAGTGGATGTTTTCATTCGCTAAACATCTTGGAAAGAATCTTCTGGCATGGCGAATCCAGGCCTGACACTGATGTGCTGTGATGTAATTGCATCATCCATGGCCTGGAGAAGAGTGACTTGTTCGTGAGGGTGCCTATCATAGACCTTCCACCTCCATGTGGAGAAAAACTCCTCAATGGGGTTAAAGAAAGGGGAGTATGGAGGTAAATACAGGGTGAGATATTGTGGATGGGCCTGAAACCATGCTTGGACCATTTGAGGATGTTGAAACTGAACATTATCCCAAACTATTACGTAGGTCACACCATCAGCTCTACAGACCTGATTTAGCTCCTCAAGGAAGGCTATGAGGTGAGCTGCATTATATGACCCAACACGAGGTCTGCGTCCAACCACGCCATCTTCTGAGCTGCACATATGGTGAAATTGGCTCCACGTTGTCCAGGTACTTGGACGGTTGCCCGCCGGCCAATTAAATTCCGACCTCTCCTCCTTGTCTTGGCCAGGTTAAAGCCTGCCTCATCCAAAAATATGAATTTGTGATGGTTTTCCTCCACATCCAGCTCCATCACCCTCTAAAAACACAGACCATTACTGATTACAATGATAAAGAATGTTTGGGGATTTTTTTCTCCCCCAAAAACAGGCAAATTGATCATACCTGAACATACTCAGTCCTCAGTTGCTTCACTCTATCTGTATTTCTTTCAAAAGGCACATGGTATAGTTGTTTTAAAGACACCTGACGTCTTTTCAGCACCCGTGCAATAGTTGGCAAACTTATGGCTTCCACATTGCTGAAAACGTCGTCGTCTGTCCAACATGTGTTGCCGAATTTCTGTAAGGCGAATATCATTTCTGGACCAAACCAAATTGACCACAGCCTGCTCTTGTTGGTCAGTCAGAATTTTGCTTCTGCCTCCCGTTATTTGGCCTAGTCTTCATTCTGCAGGGAGAAAGTCACAGTAAGAACTCATTTACAGAAATCACATTACACTCTGTGGTACACACTGCCATGCTGTATACACTTATTTACTGTAACAGTTTAAAGTAGCTTAAACTTTAGTGGATTCTGAAGACTTACCGGTTTTCATTGCGGAAAGTTCTGATGATTGAGGCCACAGATGATCTTCTGAGATTTGGTTGAAACATTGTAGCTGCTGCACTCATTGCCATGCCATGATTTATGACATAGTCTACAACTATAGCGGTGATTTCACTTGACACCCTTTGTTGTTGCTGCCGCTGTCTAGGTCTGTGTCCTCTACCACGATCACCCACACCTCTCAAACGAGGCCCATGGCCACCTCTCAAACGGGTGCTTGTCCCTTTCTATTCCTTTGACCACCATGCATAGGCGGAGCGTGTGTAAGGCTGGGGACTTGGGGCAAAAATGCCACTAAATTGGACAAAAATGACCCTGCACAAACAAATTAAATCTATCATGTCTGTTGCCAACAAAGTGAAAATGAACAGACCGTGTCGATTGTGGCATCAAATTAAGATCTGCTCATGTTGCGCCGTATTTCATTTTAGGCGTTTTTAAAGTTTTGCACATTTTAACCAATCACACACAATTCTGTTGAGCTTAGGAATGCAAAGGCAAATCAGAGGCAAAACTCAAAACTCATCAGTTTTGAGTGCGCGCAAATTCTCTCATCATAAACAACAAAGCGCAGATGCACGTACAATGCAAGTAAGAGATTCATTTAACAATGTATACAGCTTCAGTGATTATAACAATAGCTTTTTTGAGTGCTTAAACTCGCGATAGATCAAAGTTAGCGATGATGTTATTTTCTAGCCTATGTAAAAAAAATTATTCTCTGTTTGAATAACCGTGGAAAGGAAACGTTATATAGCCTAATTAT